TAAAAAACATTAAAAATCGTTCTGATCCCAAACTTTTGAACGGTAGTGTGTGTGTGTACACACACACACACACACACACACACACACATGCTCTACATTTCCATTAAATATACCAACCTGAAAATCTGAGCTAAAGAAGTTAAGTATAGTCATCGGACTTTAATTTTAAATAAAAAAAAGTTATTATTTTCTAATTGTACCAGTTTTTGATATTCCTGTCGTTCCTCATTCAAGCGGATGTCGCTGTACTTGTATGTCTGTTACCTACATAGTGGATGTGCCCAAGACGGCTGCTGACTGACGGCCCTTAAATAGGATTTGCTAGATTGTCATTTTCTCTTTAGGTAGCGCGCTGTCGATCTCTTTTGAGAGCACAGATGGATGAGGCTGAGGCATATGCGCTATATAACACTGACGTCATCTCTCTCTATAATTTATTATTGGAAATTAATATATTCTATATTATTACGTATAATATTATACATGGTCACAAATATCAATAAATATAGTAAATTTTTCGAAATTGAGATTTATATATCATCTGAAAGCTGAATAAATAAGCTCTCCATTGATGTATGGTTTGTTAGGATCGGACAATATTTGAAAATCTGGAATCTGAGGGTGCAAAAAAATCTAAATATTGAGAAAATAATCTTTAAAGTTGTCCAAATGAAGTTCTTAGCAATGCATATTACTAATCAAACATTTTGGAAAAAAAAAGTTTTGATATATTTACGGTTGGAAATTTACAAAATATCTTCATGGAACATGATCTTTACTTAATATCCTAATGATTTTTGGCATAAAAGAGAAATGTATAATTGTGACCCATACAATGTATTGTTGGCTATTGCTACAAATATCCCCCAGCGACTCAACACTGCTTTTGTGCTCCAGGGTCACATATTTATTATACAATTATAACATCTGCATTGTTAGTGCAAATGATAAGAAGCCTTTATAAATGGTAATTAAGATTGCAAACAGTATTGTTTTTTGACTACAGGCTTTTTTTCAAACACATTTAAGGTATTTCTGGCGGTCATAGTCATGTTTGGAGCATTTTTAAGAGATCACAGATTCATCTGAACGTTCCCGTTGTGCTTGTGAATCTGTGCAGACTGTAATACTGAAGCTGTCTGTGTAGGCAGCTCTCTAGGTTTGGAGACGCAGTTCACGTGAAGCACGACTAGCAATAAGAGGAAACATTGAGCTGAATGTGTACAGTATCCGTGTTTATGATGTTTCTATCTCTCACACTGCAGCAGATTCACTCATTACTGTCTCCTGCTCACATGCTGTAACTGTGCTGTTACAGTTACTATAACAGCTTCAAAGGTCGCTCACACGGTCAAATTGATAAAGCATTAATGCTTATTTTTATACTCGGGTGTCAAGATGACGCTGCTTCTGCACTGATGCCAAACGTGTTCATTTTATTCATTTGGTGTAATGTTTGATTTGTGTCCATTTAAAAAAAAGAACTAAATAAAATAAAATAATATTTGAGTCACTGCACTGTAATATATACACTCTATAAAATGCTGGGTTGTTTCAACCCAACTTTGGGTCAAATATGGACTAACCCAGCCGTTGGGTTAAATTTTTAAAGTACATTTTTAACCCAAAAGTTGGGTTTTTTCAGTGTAGATTATTGAAAGAAATTACTAGTACAAATTTACAAAGTGATTACGTAATAAAATAATTTTGGAAAAATATTTATTTATTTGATTGATTAATAATTTGAACATATTGACTCCACTATCTTCAACGGAAATTTTAATAATTGACTAAATCCGCTGCTAAATTCCTTTTTATGCCCAATGAATCTTTTATATAAAATTATTCTTTGTTGATATTTATCAGTTAGTTGTTGCAGGCACATTTAGAGTACACCAAAAGTTTGGAGTAATTACACATTTTACACAAGTTTTTGAAAGCGTCTCTAATGCACAATGGAATATCACCACACAATATTCATCAGCACAACTGTTTTCAGCATTGATAATAATCAGAAATGTTTCTCGAGCAGCAGATCAGCATATTATACTGATTTCTGAAGATCATGTGACACTGAAGACTGGAGTAATGATGCTGAAAATACAGCTGCGCATCACAGAAATACATTACAGTTTAACAGACATTCACATAGAAACCTGCTTTTTAAATTATAATAATATTTCACAATTTTTAAACAAATAAAAGCAGCCTTAGTGAGCAGAAGAGACTTTTGACCAGTACTGTAGATTCCTGGATGATTGCATTGACTCTGTATGTGTTCACTCACATGCATTCATGCTGAAAACATTCATCTGTTTCCTTCACAGATCTCAGGAAAACATTTGACCAGGAGCCTCTGGGGAAGGAAGTGTCGCTCGAACAGGAAGTGCTTCTCCAGTGCCGCCCGCCAGAAGGAATACCTGCCGCTGAGGTACCGTCTCTCTCTCACACACACACACACACACACACACACACACACACACACACACACTCACTCACTCACTCACACTTTCTCACACTCACACTCTCTCACACACACACACATACACACTCACTCACTCACACACACACTCTCACACACATACACACACTCTCACACACACACACTCTCACTCTCTCTCACACACACACAC